AGTAATTAAATATGTGCTCTTTTGTGAATGATTTCTTTTACCCAGCAAAACATTTTTACGTTTATCTATGTTATAGTATTTTTCAGTATTTTATTTATTCTTTTGTTGGATAATATTTCATTGTATAGAGATACTGAATTTGCTTATCTATATATGGGTTGATAGACATTTGAGTGTTCTTACTTCTTGGCTCTGAGTAATGCTGCTATGAGTTTTTATATACAAGTGTTTGTGTAAACATATGTTCTCATTTCTCTTTGGGATGCACATACGAATGGAATTCCTGGGCCATATGGTAACCCTATGCTTAACATTTTGAGGAACTACAGACTGTGTGCCAAAGTGGCTGCACATTGTCCAAAGCAATGTATGAGGGTTCCAGTTTTTCCCTATTTTCCCCAATATTTGCTTTTACCAACCTTTTAAAAAATGTAACCACCTTATTTGGAGTCAACCTCATTTTGAGTTTGATTTACCTTTCTCTGATGACTAATGATGTTGAGTAACTTCTCTTGTGCTCATTGTCTATTCTTCTTTGGAGAAATATCTATTTAAATCTTTGCCCATTTTATAATGATATATTATCAAGATGTAAGAGCTTTCAGTATATATTCTGGATTCAAGTCCCCAAATTAGGTATGTGACTTTCAAATATTTCTCCCATTCTGTGGGTTGTCTTCTTACTTTCTTTTTTTTATTATTTTTTATTTATTCATATGTACACACATTTACTTTCTTAATAGTATACATTGTTGTGAAAATATTTAACTGTGATAAGGCTTAGGAAAATTTATCTATTCTACTCAAAGCTACAAAGATTTATTTCTGGTTTCTTTCAAGAGTTCTATGGTTTTAGCTTTAACATTATAGTCTGTGATCCATTTGGAATTACTGTTTGTATGTATGGTGTTTTTATCATTGTCAGGGTTTACCTTATCTCTGTTTAACTATAACTTTCCAAAGTTTATCTTTTTAAAATTATTAATTTCTAAGACCTACATCTATTATTTTGTGCTTATTCTTTTAGATTTTAAAATTTTATTAATATCTGGATTTTTATCTTAATTCTTTTATTCTTCTTTCATTGGACTTATTTTGTTCTTCTTAGTGTCTTGGTAAAATCTTCATTAAATTTCAAGCTTTTAGATTTTGCAAGAAATTCACTGATGGTTATAAACTTCCTCATGAGCACTGTTCTGGCTTCAGATCCAGGTTTTGACAGGTCTTACGTGGGTTAACAAGGCCTGCTTGTGAGCTTGGATCTTGGCTGGATCTGTGAACTTAACTGGTTAACTCATTTCTTCACGGACATGAAACTTTCCGTATAGGATGAAGTTGGCTTACTCTGCCTACACAGTTCACACAAGGAGCTTTATGCTAAGTAACTGCTTTTCTTCTAGGAGTCTGGAATTTGGTAAAGTGCAGTTTGAAAACAAATTTAGTTGCAAAGCTGAGCATTTGGAATAAGATTCTATTTGAAAGCTTTGGAAACGATGTGTCTTTCACCTAGTACGAACAATTTTAGTTGCTCAAACCCTTATTCCTTATACATAAGCCATATCCTTTATGCTGCCAGAGGGTGTTTGTGTGATAAGCCTCCAATTAAAACATCGGTGCTGAGTCTCTAATAGGCTTCCCTGCACAGAAACATGGCACTTCTGTTGCTGCATCTGTGTTGGTAGAGAAGAGTGTGTTCTGGGAGCCCCTCCCAGAAAGGGGAGCGCGTAAGGAAGACGGCGCATGCGTCTTTTTTTAAAAATTGTTGCAATTAAAAACTGTTCTGACTTTTCACAGATCTAATAAAACTGCTCATATTTATTGTAAATATGCATAGGTTTCAATTAGTTTCAGTTTTTTTTTATTTGTAAAGTTTTTAAAGCTTTCTGTGGGTTAGATTGTATTTTACATTTTCTCTCTTTGGTATTTTTATATTCATTTATTCTTTCAGTTTTAGCCTTTGTACATTTTTGGTTCATACATACCCGCACTTTCTCAAATTAACTATCTCACAGATGCTACAACGTTATCTTCAGTTTTTCAGTCCTTGCAAATCCTGTCCCTTGATTAGTGCAGCTTATGTTCCCATGCCTTCTGTGGATCGGGGCAGTGAACAATTCTCAGAGTATGGTGGAGGCTTGACTGGCTTTCATCAATGTAACATGCAAATTTATACTATCTTCTTCCCAGAAGGACAACTGTCTTGAGCTGTTTCTGTGTTTTAATAGAGGCTTAAGTTAACAGCTTTTAGTTGGTTCTTCTTCTCCCCCAAATTTGTCTTCACTACTAAATTATAGTTTGCTAAATATTATTTTTTGTAATAACTTTGAATATTTTGTCTCCTTATTTATTGGCATCCATCACTGCCAATGAGATGCCTGCTTTCTGCTGTGATCAGTTCCATATTTTGGAATTGGGTTTGTCCAGTGGGAGGCTTTAACAGGAGATCAGACAGTGGGAGGAGAGTAAGGTTGGGACACTTTTTCTCTGGCCTCCCCACTGTGCTCCATCTTCCCATACTAGATTACCTTGTTTTGACACTATCATTTGATCCTTCTGGCTTAGGGGTGACAGGGGCTCAGGGTGCTAGAACATTCTGTTGCTGGCTGTTCTACACCTTGCCTGCCTTGCTAATTAGTTTCTGCCTTGCTAATTAGTTTCTTTATAAATCCTCCTTAAACCACTTGCTTGAGTATTATTTCTTTTTTGCCCTTGACACTGACCAATGTAAAAATGAAAACAAAACAGAGGAAACAAAGCAATAAAGTAGGCAAGTAACTTAATTATATAGCTTGGTCTTTTTGTGTCTCATAACAGAATGAAATATTTCAGGACTGGAGGTATGGCTCAAGCAGTAGAGAGCATACTTTCCAAGTATGAAGCCCTGAGTTCAAATCCTAGGCCCACCAAAAAAGTTTACTTACAGAATGAAATATTTTAGAAAGAGTGTAGGTGAAGAAGATGCATTTTTAGCTAAAGGAAATATTCCTCCAAGGAAAAGTAATAGTACACGTTTCATGAGTCTCAATGCAAAGCTGCAGTTGCTCTCCATCTCCCTGTTCAAGATGTTGGTGCATTTCTGGGCCTGGAGGGAAAGCAGGTGTGAGCGAGAAGTGACTGATAAGTGTCTCCATGCAGTGCTGTGAGGTTGGGATGCAGAGAATTATAGGATCTTAGAGCCTGAAGGGGCCACGGGGACTACTAGTGCAGCCGTGATCTGTACAATGTACTGCAGCGTTTGTGGTAGAGCTCTAGATTTAAATTTGTGAGGAAAATATTAAAAAGCCACCTCCAGCTGCTGCTTAGTGTGCCTATGAACATTTTTAATGATTAAAATATAGTACTAATTTTCTCACAGGCATTTGTAGGGTAGCTAATGATGACAACAGGCAACATTGACTCTCTGTGCCTGAGAGATTTTTTTTCCAAGCTTCACACACTTCAAGGCTTTATGTATACTATTTCATTCAATGCTTGCTTAAGCTCCACGTAGTGGGTACTATTGTGTTTCCAATTTTACTGGTGAAGAAAATAAGGCAAAGAAAAATGAAAGAAGTTGTTCATCATTACAAAGCCATTAAGTGATGGAGCCTGAACTTGAACCTGAGCAGTTTGAAACATACGCTCTTATTCATGATGCCGTTCCTCTTGTTACAACATGGATGGAGAAATATATGTGTATATGTTGCTTTGTGTCTAACAAGATATCTTTTATATTCTTCCATGTTATTAAATGCACCATGTTACTTTAAATGACTGTATCATATTCTGTTGTATCAGTATGTTTAGTTAACTTCATTTGTAGGAATTATTTTGTTCTGCTTTTTTCTCAAAAGTTTCTTTCTCATCTTGACTCTTCTCACATTATAATCTCTGACTCCAACATTTTCTTAAGCTTCATACCTCTATCTGTAAAGTGGTTATTACAATAATGATGATGTTTCTCTTATTCCCTTAGTCTATGTATAACTTTATACATGTTTTATATATGTTATAATAATTATTTTTCAATAGAATGCTAAATGTTGTTGGGCAGTAGAGCTATAGGATGAATTTTCTCCATTATGTGATTTATAATATTCAAATGTATTTGTAATAATGAAAATTAGTTAGAGGTTTTTTTTTTTAGCAAACCAATCAAAGGTACAGAAGTTAAAATATGCTTTGGTTCATTTCTCCTACAAATAGTTTCACTGATCAACAAAAGTCACCAGTACAGGCTCAAGTGATGAAGTTTTATTTCACTGAGTGATGCTGGTCCTGCATGATTTGTCAATATTTGACACTGTGCAATCCTAAAGCAATTCTAAGGATACTTATCAGTCCTTTTCCATGAATAAATACACTCTTCCCTCCCATGTTCTTAGTGTTCTGTATTTATTCCTGATGCTTCTGCAAGGCAGAATTACATGTGTTAGCAATTCACAGGCACTCCCTGTGCCTATAAGGGAGTCCTTTCTTCATTATGATTATGTGTCCTTTGACTTTCTATATCATCTTCTGACAAACTTTGTGAGAGTCTGATTTGATATCTTAATTCTACTGAAGCTCACACGAGTTTATCCTTGAGCTGTAAACAGGGCTGAAAAGGTAGTGTGCTGATGTGATGTTTTGCTCATCAAGGAAATAACCAGTGAAATTCATCTTTAAAATAGAACAGATTATTATCTTATCTGTAATAAGGAATCACAGCATATTTTAACCAGAACTTAGCCTTCACTGTTTGGCTCACGAAATACAATTGTTTTCTCTTCGAATCATGTCGTATCAAATGGCTTAGCAAAAAAACCCATGTTATGTGTGTGGGGGCACACACATGTTTGTGAGCATGTATTTGTGTGTGTGTGTGTGTGTGAGAGAGAGAGAGAGAGAGAGAGAGAGAGAGAGAGAGAGAGAGAGAGATTGTATTTTAACCAAAACAGCTTTGAACATACTTCAATGTAGAACAAGAAAGATTGCTGATTTGACATAAATATTAATGAAAGAATATGACAAAAATCCTGAAGATATTTTTCTTTTATTTAAAATGGTATCTATCACAACACATCATGTAATGAATGAAGGCCTTAGAATCACATTAAAACTTTTAAAAACATGAAACATGCTGCAAGAAGACAAATATAGTTTGATAGCGAAGTCTCGGCACATTTTCACCAAGAAAATGGCCAGGGAAAGCATAGGACCCCACAGGAATTCCCCCTTTTCAGCAGAAGCAGTTGTGACTGCTTCAAAACAATGGTTTCTTTCTTTGGAGGCCAAGTCATTGATGTGTTCATAATTTCATCGAATGCTGTGCTGTGCTGAAATTTCCACTGATTCTACTTTTGAGGGAGTCATCATATTAGAATTACAACACATGTTTACAACACATATGGCACAATATGAAAAATAAACACTTTTTTTAGTTTTCACATCATAACGATAAATATTATTAAATAAATAATTATTCTTCATAGTGCATGTTTTATTTTACCATTCATTGCCCATTGACACAAATGAAGCTGAATAAATAAGTTAGGGAGTTTATTTACGTCTTCTTTCATAATCCTGCATTGCACTTCTTTCATACGCCACTGAAAACAAGAGAAGGGAAAGTATGTCTTAGGAGGATTCACTGAGGGAGTCAAACAAACTTCAAAGCACACAGTGATTTACTATAGTCATTAGGATGTTTTCCCCTCTGAAGAAGTATTTCTAAGAATTTTATTTGTATATCTTCCAATCTTCCTCACTCTCTATTCTGATTAGAAGTGATCTAAACACAGAACTCTAGGTTTCATTGATTATATATTTGGTGCTTCAAAGGTAATATATTGCATTTCCATGATATAGTACGATACTGATATTCAGCAGCTTTCTTTAGCAGTGGCAAACACTCATGGTGAATTATAGAAGGGACCAGGTCTAAAATAACCAAATAGTAGGAGGGTGAAAGTGAAACGAGGGACATTTATTCTAGGACAAAGGTTAATAAACTACAGGCCATGGGTGAACTCTACTCTAGTCCACCATTTTTTTTTTGTAAATTAAAACACAGACAAACACTCAATTATTTGTATATTATTTATGGCTGTTTTGGCTTTAAAATGACAGATCTTAGAAGTTACTATAGAGACCACATGGCTTATGAAGCTTAGAATATTTATGTTCTTTCTTTTCAGAAAAAAAATGGCAATCTCTGTTCTAGGGGCACCTACTAGTATGAGGGTCTCTTTCTGTCTTGTGGTTACTTTCCAATGATGGATTGTCCTAGAAACTTAAAACAGTTTCATTTTCTGTAGGTAATTCAACTGAGTCCACAAATTACAGCAGTTTAACTTACCTCCTAGCACCCTCACACCCTGTGAAAGGTTAATCACTGCATCTAAAAGTACTTAATACATAGCTAGTATTTAAGTATTTTGATTCGCTTGACAAAAAAGCCAAATATTATATTAATCATATAATAATAGATGTAATTTCAAAGGTATCTACAACTACAAAAGGTTAAGGATCAGACTATTATAATCAAATACCTAAGTATATTTTTATCATATTAGTCAGTACTTTATATACTTAGATTTACATTATAGTGAAATTAATGTGCTTTTGGAAAATCAGTACTTGTACACAATACTAAATTCAAATAGAAACCACAGAGGAACAATGTTAAGAACCACCGGTGCTATTCTAGTCTTCTCAGTAAGAAAGGTTTATTGAGAAGGAAGGTGAGAAGAAGCACCAGAGCTATCCCTTCCGCCTCCTAACTCTGATCTCTAATGTTCACCTATCCTGAAGTGATGTGAACAAAAAGCTAAATGTTTTGCATCAATTATGCATGCACAACCAAGATGGAACAGACTGAGCCCTAATCTCAACAGTTTTGAGAGAAGGAGATGTTTATTGCCATTCTCTTTTATTAGGAGAAAGATGTCTAGCAGAAGTCAGTCCCTGATGAGCTTTCGGTAACATGACTTTGTTCCTTACAGAAGTTAAGATGGATGCTAATTAAAGTAACTAAAGGCAAATTAGCAATTTTGCTGAGACATAATGTCCTCTAACATAGAAGCAGAGTTTCTTACCTGGTCCTTGAACACTGAAAATTATATGTCAACTTCTTCTGTGTGTCTGAGTTGGTGAGGGTTTCTATATTTATCAAATTGTCAAAGGGGTGTGTGGTGTGGACTAAGACTATGATAACCATGTCTGAGCTGAGTGTATTGAAAGTTCCTTGATTGACAGTCGATTGCATTTTTCTTTTTATATTTTCTTAACCAAAACGGAAGAACAAAGATTTAGTTATAAATTGATTCGGATTCAGTACAGTGATTCTACTTATCATTACTTATATTCATATTATTACTTTTAGTACATTTAATCTGTTTTAAATTACATAGTATCTATAGTTTGTGAAGATAAGCATGTTTTGAAAGCTCCATCAATTCTGGAGATGGTGAGTTGATGACTAACATCGTAACTAAGAAAGCCACAGGTATGTGAGGATTAGTGTGTATAGAAACAAATAAATGCCACTGTGGCTTAAATGTATATTCCACTTCTAAAAGCAGGAAGAAATAAATGTATATTAATGAAACTAGTACAAGGTTTTTGTTTGGAACACTGGTAAGTTCTTTAAAACTTAAACCTCAGTAGCCCCAAATTACTGGTGAGAAAGTACAAAGGTAGCATATAAATTTGGAAAGTACAGAACTAATAAAAATACTAGGATAATTATTTTTGCATGAATACAGATAGTTAAGAGTTAAGCCAGCATATCTTATAGATTTTCTAGGAACCAGAAATATCCTAAATAGATAAGAAAGCTGCTGATTACTTTCTATCTAATTAGATGATTATATTTTAATCTACTTTTACTGACAGTAAAGAGAATTTGAATAGTTTTTCCCAGGAACTTAAGCTAATGGCTACCAGGCTTGGAGTGCTTAACAAAAAAGTCAAGTTCCATGAAAATGATACAAGGGATATTTAACCTTGAAAATAGTGATGAATGAGTTTAGAAATACAGAGTTTTCAGATTTTATCTGTGGAATTCACAGAGGATAAAAACTAAAGAGAACAAAGAAAAAAATGAAGACTTTCTATCAAGTGAAAGAGCTGTTCAGCTATAAAATGGTTATGAGGATCGTGACTTCTCTGTTCGGCAAAGGTTTTAGTCACAGGCCATGTGCACCTCTCAGGGATGACTTGATCACATTTCTTTTTGAAGGCACTGGGTTGGCCTCATCCTCTCAACATCCATCAGAACATTTAGATTTTGAGCTCCTACCACTTTGTAGAGAGAAAGTGATTTATATAAGAACTTTGTTTTCTTTATTTTTTAGTGTGTTTGAAGACTGCCAGATATAAAATCTTATAGAATTTTCACATTACTTTGGTGACAAGTGAAAGTCGCTCAGCTCTCCTTGCACCACCCACCTTTGATCAGTAAGACTGAGTACAGCTTATTGTATGGACTACAGGAAAGAGTAGTAGACTAGGCTGAAATTGAGGATAGGTAAGTACTAAATGGCAGAGAACAGGTGAAGCTGGTAGATTGAGAGAAATAGACTTATATTGTGGTGCTATTAGCTTGACTGCAAGTGCTGAAATTAAATGCTTTTCACCATACATACTAATTTAAATATATTATTTCTTTTTAATATTTTGAAATCTATGCCTTATAAAATAATAGAACTAGATTTGAGTTACTGTCTAGTTTAAGTCATGATTTTATACATACCAGAATTTAAAGCTCTTTTGCCCATTAGTCCAACAAAGGAATCTGTTTTATGCCCTGAAAAAATACATTTAGGGGTATTTTAATATGTATGTCTTTGAGGAAGGAAATTGTTATAACTAGAACAAAATAAAACACGTTTCTAAATATATATCTATATAATAAATATATATTTCAAATTTTGATGAGCCTGTAGAAATGAAGTTTCCTTGTAAGTCTTATTAATTATACTGAAACAATACAATGAAAGTACTTTTCTCATTCTATATCTAAATATTAGCATACCTTTTTCCATTTTATATTTTATCTGTTACATAAAGTTTTAAATACTGCTGCTATTTGAGCTACCTTTGATTTTGGGGAATCAATTTCACATTTGTGTTAGAGAAATATCCAAGATTATTTCTTTGTGTGACAGAATATGTAATATTTCTTAACAAGTGAACCTTAGTTAAGTAAGATTTCTATCTTTGATGATTATAATCTTCCAAAATATCATTATTTTCTTGGATTTAAAAATACTCCTCTTGGGAAAATATATTAGTTTTGACATTAACAGAGCACATATGCTTTTATTACATAGAATTCTGCTATATCCAATTCCCTTAAAAGTCAAATCCTTAGAAAGAAAATATGAGTGAGATTTGTTTATTTTCAAAGATGAAGTCTTTAGAAAAGGTTATTGTTTTGATGCTATGGGAAGAATTTCTCATGGTTTTACTGTGTTAGTTAAGAATAGGGCTGCTGCCTCATGGGGCCTCCTCTACCACTTACTTAATCAAATCTTAGACAAGGCATGTAAGAGGACACTGTGATTAAGATGGACCTTTGGGACTTCCTGTCACTTGTGGTTCCATTAACCGGGGAAACTGGAATCTAATGATCCTACAGTGCCACAATTCTGCTATCTTCACTGTCCTATGACAAGTTTCACTGCTTTGATGGATTGAAGTTTATCTTTCAATTATGGGATCAAAAAACTGCTTCTCTGTTCATATTTACCTTTAGTGTGGATTCTGTACTCAGCTCTTCACCCTTTCTACTTAATTAGTTGCTGGATTAGCTCCCCCCCAGCCTGGCAAAAAAATGATGTCATAAGGGCTCCAGCTCACCAAGTTTGAAGTTGTCTATAATTGTTGGGGTTTTCTGCAGTGTAAGTGGGGATGGTTGGGAGGGATTGGAGGTGAATGCAAGTGATGAATTTCTAACCCCAGTACTGAAATTCTAAAGCTATTCTAATTCTAAAACAGGTATTAAAGTAATTTTTGCTTTTATTTTTTAATATAAGTACAGATTTTATTCACATAATTATTCAGCTAGTCATATGTGGATGGTAGTTTCCTCAATTCTTATATTGTCTTAATTAAAAATATTAGATCCTAATTTATGACTGAAAATAAGGTAAAATATATAGTAGTATACAATATAATTAACATTAGCATTTGGTAAATGTCAAAATAATTTTGTACTCACTTTTGTGAGAGATCTGGCCATGTCCTAGAATAAAGAAATACAAAGTCAGCAGACACATATGCATTTATTTGAAGAAGCTACTTTATATCTTTTAGAGAGAAATATAAAATAAATTGATTTTTAAACTATGTAACATTTCCCATTATATATACTACCCTGAGGAATATAGCAGAGCCATAAATGATAACCAAATTATTAATAAAAGAGAAATATTTTAACAAAGGGATATTTATTAAATGCCTCTAAGGACCACAGATTCAAATCCAGAATTTTGGGATTCTTGAGGTCTGCTAGTAACTGTAGGGCTATATCACCTACTATCTTCAAAGCTGGCCACCAGTTTGACACACACACACACACACACACACACACACACACACACAGAGAGAGAGAGAGAGAGAGAGAGAGAGAGAGAGAGATACAAATCCATCTCTTAATTAAACGGGTGTAATTAGGATCTTGTATTTCAGCCCATACAATATTTTATTTAGTTTTCCACATGTGAATTCACGACAGTAAAATAAAGATTTATAGGAATGTTTACCATAAAGAGACTTTAACAGGGCCACTTGTTTTTCAATTGAGGGATCTGACAAGAGATGAATTGACATTAACTATTCACACTAATGGTGCAATGAACTCCAGGAAACAGGATATTTCTGTCAGGCAACAAGGGGTGGCCAAATGAAACTGAACCCCAGAGAATGCTCTAAAGTAAGCCTCCACATGCCCTAGGACCATTTAGAGAACTACCCCTGGAGGCTTCTGCCTTTCCTTTCTTTGCGGTTTGGATCTTTAGTCAAGGAGACACTTAGCTAAGTTTGGCTCCTGTTTCGGGGTCACTTTATTAATGCAAAGCATGACAAAGTATCCATCAGACAGGTGGATGTGTTACTGAGGTGTGGGCCAGTCTCACCCTGGGAATTCCAACTCTTTTAGGGTGGAAATTCTACTCAAAGAGCAAGAGGAAATCTCTACTCAAAGAGCGAGCAAGCAGGCAGGGCCGGTTGCTCAAGAGACCTGGGGACTGTGGCTCATCTCACCAGCATCCCGTTTGCCCATTAATCCAAAGAACTGCTGAGGCTTGGGTCTCCGGGCGATTCTCTGCAGAAGATGCTCGAAGGGCTCCGGCAGCTCCTCCTAGGGGACAAACAGAGTGAGGGGCCCAGTGTTCCCAGCCATTCTCACGTGCGCTCCAGCCGCCAGCGAGCCGTGGGTGCCCCGGGTGCTCTCGGTGGGGAAGCCTGCTTTGCCCCAGGCGACAAGCTCGCGGGTTTCTTAACGCCAAGGCTATTGGGGTCTGTGGGGAGTTCTCTCTCCGCTGGTGCCGGCCAGGAGCTGCCTCTTCCCCGAAGCCAGCCCCGCCTAATTGGCGGCAGCGCGGCATTTTCCGGCCCTGAGCGCTTTCTGCTCACTCCACTACCGCGCCGCCACCAGGCTTTGTCTTGTCCCTGGTGCCGGCTTTGGGGACCCCTCACCGCCCTAAATGCAAACAGGTGTGTATGTGTGTGTGCATGGGGAGCGGAGTTGGGGTAGAGAAAATGAAAACACTTTGCAAGCCAGACCCGCACCGCACAACTTTCTCCACTGGCGCGCTCCCTGGCGCCAATAGCCTGGGAGCCATATAAAAGGGAATTTGCAGCTCCCTCTAAATAAACGTCAAATCGGGAAGTTAGCTTCCCACCCACCTCCACCTCTCTAATCCCCCCGCAGCTCGCCCTTGTCCCCTCTTCTGCCTGCAACAGACTCTCCCTCTACTGTCCCCGGCATTTTCGAAAGCTCGGGCAGTACAGCTTGACGGAAGCCCCCGAAATTCCCTGTACATGGGAATGAAACCTTGCGGGGTTTTCAGCCTCGCTAAGACCTTATGTCATTAAGGCAGGCCATAACAGCTTCAGGGAATTCCTGGACCCGACGGTGCAACCCCCAGGAGCGAACTTAGTTCATGGCGTAAAATCCCATGCAGGACCGGGAGGATGGCGCCCCTCTCCATCCCACTGCATCCCTTCATTGAGTCTGGACTGGTCGCGGTTCCCGCCAGTCTAGCTAGGGTGCTATCTCTAGGGAAGGTTTGGCAGCGTTTGGAGGGCAGTAAGAATGGCGCGGGCCATCTCAGGATGGGGTCTCACCTTGATCTGGTCACTGTCGGACCAGTCGGACCAATAATTTAGATCATCGTTCGCACCGATTTCCTCTGCAAACAGTTGAGTGGAGACAAGAAAGAAGACTGCCAAGGCCACGAGGATTTTCATGTTGGGTTTCTGGGAAGAGTGGGGGAGAAGACACCGAGGAGAGGGGACATTATATATACACGTAGGAGTGGCTATCCACGAGTTAGGGCAGCAGAATTTTCAGCCCAACAACGGACCCTAGGTCTGGTTGAACCAAAATAAAAAGCATAAAGGCTATAACATCTCCCGTTTACCATTTTAAGAAAGAGATTCACGTCCCAAAAGATTCTCAAATTCCCTTCTCCCTGAATCTCAACTGTCCAGATCCCCAATCCACAAGCCTGGAGAGGCTCTGCAGGTGTGAGACAAAAGAGGAGTGATGATATTTGAGAAACCAAGTCTCTCACAGTCTCTCGCTGTAGCCGCGCCACCTGGGCAGATGCGCTCCGGGTGGCGCGAGTACTTACTGCGGCCCCAGGCCCGCGGGATCCTCACTGAGTCTGAGCGCACGCTGCGCGCTCCGCACTCCGCACTCCGGGTGCAGCCGCGAAGGAGGAGGTCCGACCGCGCTCTTTCGCCTGCTTGGTGCTTCGCGGTATTTATCCCAGGCGTGACGAGCCTCGAGACCCACGTGACACTCTCCCCACGCGACTTTATGCTCAATATTTAATTAGCCGCCTCCTCTCCATTCGCTTGCGTGATTGAGAGTTTCCGAGACAGTAACCCGTCGGTGTTCATAACATCTGGAACCAATTGGGATTGAAGTGACGCAATTTTAAGAAAATCGAGGTCTCACCATCCAATCCAGATTGGTTTGTCTTTTTCCGTCTGCAAATGTGACGCCCCCTCCCCTCTCGTTCCTAACAGGGTTCCGTGACACCTGAGATTACTCATCAAAATTGAGCAAAGTGACTCATTCCTCGGACTTCTGCAACTTTTCCGTCTCTGAGATGTCAGGATAAGTTGCACTTTTGAGGAAGGACAAATAATATATCTTTCCAGGATAAGGCATTAAGACCTCATCCTGGAAATCATTCTAAGAAACCTGCACTTAGTGAGAGGGAGGGAGGGAACAATCTCTTTCTGCTCCCACCTTTAAGTGTTTCTGAGATAGAGGCTCTTCCTGTGAGTAAAGCGTCCTTCTCCTAAGATCAGCTAGAATACTGGTATTTATTTAACATTACAACAGGATTTTCAGTCTCAGTGTTTCAGAAGATGGAAGCAGATTTATTTTACATTTGGGAGAAAGGGGGAAATTAAATGTGGTGCTGTATGTAGCACTTATTCTTACATCAGTGCCATTCTAGGATATCCTTTGGTCTTAAAGGTTCTTTTCTTTTTTCATCCAGGAGCAGGGGTTGGAAGAGGATATTTTTGCTTCTTTCCTCTGCGTTCTTGCTGAAGACCACAAAACCAGCAAGAGTATGCAAGATCCTTCTTACAGAAGGACTACAGAGCAGTCATAGATTTCTTCTGCATGTGAAAGTAAGTGCAGGGAAGATGCTAACTGGGCAGTTGAACAAAATTATTAGACATACAACATCGGTCTATCTTTCATCTCTAAGTAAATTAAATGACATTGCATCTTGAGTGGAGTTGTTTGCTCTTCCTATTGTATTTTTCGATTCATTATATATAATTTTTAGTATAGTGTGTAAAGGAAACACATTTTTGCAACTCATTTAAACCAATAACTTTTCCCCTTTAATACTTGTTGTTCTTTCTTTAAAAACACTGAATTTTGAAATTCCCATGGGTCTCATTTGTTTAGATTTAACCTCAGAAGGTGAACATTTAATTTTATTTTCAAAACTTTTATAAGGGAAATTACAAAGATATTCCAAAGAACCATTCACTTGAAGTAATTTGCAAGTTTTATGTATAATCCTTCCAGTTTCCCCTCCACCCAGAATATTTTGAACCAACTTCCAGCCCTCTTATCATTGTAACTGTAAATATTTCAGCCCATCCATCCAAAAGATAAGAATTTTTAAATAAAAAATATAACCATGCCATCATTCCATTTAAAACATGAAATAATTATGCTACTAAATATCCACTCAATGTTCAACTGTTCTTTATTGTCTCATAAGTCCTGCCTATATCATACATTTTACTGGTTAAAATCAGAACTGAAATGAAATTAATACATACACTTTGTCTTAATCAGCCTGGGCAGTGATAACTAAATACTACAAACTGAGTGATTTATAAATAGACTTTTTTTTTTCCTCATCATTCCAAAGGCTGGCAGTAAGTGGTCAGGGAATGAGCATGGCTTGGTTCTGGCCAGGGATCTCCTGGTTTCAGACGGCCCTCTTACCTCCTTGTTGTATCTTCTTCACATGGCAGAAAGAGGCAAAAAGAATTCTCTGGGATCCCTTATGAAAGGGCACTAATCCTCTTATGAGGGTTCCACCCTCACAACCTAATTATTTATTTCTTAATCAGCATGGAAATTAAAATTTCAACATAGGAAGTTTTGGGGGAACATGACCATTCAATTCATTGCAGATATCTTAAATCTCTCCAAATGAATCGTTATCTCTTCTCCTCCTCCCTCCCCTACTATTATAGTTCAAGGATAAAATAGGTCAGCAGTGTGTATTACATTCTGGAATTTGCTGATTGTCTTTTTACTTGTTCCTCAGTTCTATTTTCTGTTAATTGGTAGTTGTGGTATCTAGAAGCAGTTCCTACGTAAGTTCCATTTTGGGTAGGGGAACAGGGCTACTTCTCAGGTATTTTGTAGTTCTGTTAGGAAATACCTGATAACTGTTTACTTCTCCTTCTGAGTCACCAGCAGCTTTTGATAATCAGCTCCTGAATCCTTAATTCAATAGTAGTTTCAAAATGATGCCCTTTTTATTTTTTTCATTCACTATTTATTAGCTGCCCTATTTCATTTATATAAAAAACTTTTTCTCAATAAATAGTTATTCTAAGATATAATTAATGTAGGAGACATGGGATAAATGCTTGATCACTTCCCTCTACCAATTTAAAAAATAAGTTGTTAAATTACCATCTTTCAAGTATGACTTAAAAAATTTAGGACTATTATGACCCCATAGATTAAAATATATTTGAAATATTTTAGTATATGGCAGATACTCTTCTAATTGATGCTCAAATCATGCTATCTTTGACTAGCAGGTGCCTCTTCAAATTGGCTTCTGAGATCTTTGATATGTCTTTAATGCGATTTGATATTTTTCTTATGGCAAAATATTTCAGGTTTAAGTTGTGTATTTTCCTGCCTCAGACTTGGAGTCTCCCCCTAAGGAGTCCTCATTTCCTTTGAATTAGAAATGGTAATTAGACATCATAATCCCGGCATTGTTATCATGCTCTTCATTGCTTCAAGACCTGTCCAGAGGAGAGAGCTAAGGGGGCATGTGTAGAAAATCATGACTGTACACTGATACCTTTTAAAATTAGGATATGTTCATTGTACAAGGGGTGATTCATTGTTACAATTCCAAGTAGGTTTATACTGTACCTTGGTTAGATCACTCCCATTGTCTCTCCCCCTTGACCCCCTCACTCCCCACTCAAAGCAATTGCAAGAGGTTTCTTCATGTAAGTATAAGAAGTCCATCAATCTACACCCTCACCTTAATCTCCTTCCTTCACCCTCCCCCTTTCACTCACCACCCCCCGCCTATTGTACCTATTTTACAGTCCTGTCTTTCATTATTAATATTTAAGTTGATGTTCCAAGGGGTTCCTCAGTGTATCCCTGCTGTGAGTCTGCTTTACTTTGGTCTGTTCAACCCCTTCCATTGCTCTCCCTTACCATTTTTCCTCCCACCCCACATTGTTCAACAGCTTTCAATACACTTTCTTTTCAAATCGGGATATCATGAAGTCTTTATTTAACCTTTACTTTACTTCTGTTTTTTAACACAAAAGTCCCTCTTCCCACTGACATCAGCACAATCATTTACTTGCTGTGTTTTAATTCACAATGTCGACATGATCAACAGCAGCTCCTGGGAACAGATAGAGTTTTTGTTTGCTTCTTTAATTGAATTTTAGAATTGTGTAGAATATGTGACTCTAAAACGTGATTTTTCATATTCAAATACTAAAAACAACACATTACAAGAAGTATAGCTCCAGTCTTTGTCCCTTTATAGCTTTTTGGTTTATCCTTTGCCATGGTTTGAATGTGGTTGTCTTCCAAGGATGTTGGTCCTCAGTGTGGCAGTGTTGAGGTGCTGAGACTTCACGGGAGGTCATTAGGTCACTGAAGAGATTATCATTGTTTTTGTGGGACCCCTTGTTAGTTCTTAGGAAATGGTCGCTATACACAAACATGTCTGTGCCCACTCACATCTCTTTCTCTTTCTGTTCCTTGATATGATGTCTTCCTCTCACATGTATCTCCATTGTTTGTGATGCTATTCACTTTGAAGTCCCTCTAGAACCCAGTCCATGCCACCACCATAAGCTTGAACCTACAAAACAATGAGTGAAACAAACCTCTTTTCTTTGTAAAGTCACTAACCTTGGTTATTTTGTTACAATAGTGAAAACCAGATTAGTAGTCCTTCTATTCTTGTAACTTATTTTAGTATATTAAAATATGTATTCATATCCCTTTCCAACTTTTAAGATAACTTACTGAAAGTATGACATTTTAGGTGAATCTTTCTTTGATTCTTAGTCACTGATGTGATTTATGAGGTAATAAAGACAGCCATTGCCTAATTTCTTCCCTGTTAGCTCAATATAACCAGTTGTAAACTTTGTTCAGATATCATGTGTTGTAAATGTTCCAGAGTACATAAATAAAAGTATACTGCATAGAATTGAGAAGTAAACCATAAGATAAAAATTGTAATACATTTCCCACTTTTTCTGTGCCATTCATTAATTGCTACCTTAATTTTCTTAGTCAGAGACTTTCTGGCACACTTTCTTCTTGAACATAGCAGGGTCTGAGATATTTGTATTTTTTACTACTCATATATTTCTTAGAATTTATCAAATTTGTGAAAATATGCACATTAATAAAATACATATATTCTAGTACTCACATTCATGAGAAGTAGAAAGGGAGAATTATTTTTATGTTT